GACGCACAACCTTCGGGCGCTTGTTGTAGAGGAAAAAGCAGTACCTTGGACCGCTGCATAATCCCAGCGATTAGAAAAATTATACCAGAATTTCCATCTCAACTCGAATTTAGTGCACAGAGAGAAAAACCCTCCAGAAACGATTCTGCCTTTGGCAGCCGGTTTTGCTCAATGCCTGTTCAGTCCGCTTTCCAACAGATACTTCCCCGCCTCTCGGCTTCACGCTCACTGGGGACCTGGGTCTGCTTAGCTCTGCTTTGCAGGGAGTAAAGTCTGGGCCACCCTCACCAGCTCCTTGCCCTGGTCTCCTGTCTGATCTACTCGGCCAGATCGCGTTCTGGTCACTTACCTCACTCTCCTCGGCAGGGGGTGGAGGGACTTCCTTGATGATCTGAAAATAAATAAAAAAGAAGAAGAGATCAGTGCAAGTCTGGCCCCCTACTTTCTAAGAGGCCTGCCTTCCGGGCCCTGATCACCAAAGTCACTGTGCTAGAGCAAAGCAGGTTCAGGCAACGTCTTGGAGTGTCTTTCTGGGCAGACAGACTGGCTCAGGTAGTTGGAGCATCGCCCAGGCGGAGGGTTCCAATCTCCATGGTATCTGCGGTCCTTCGGGATCAAGAAGACAGTGCGCCGTGGTTGCGTCTCAGCTCTTACTCCACCAGCGTTCTTGTCAATGTGGTCACACGTTGGCTCACGTGGTCCTTCGTGCGTCTCGTCAGCCACCCACCCACCCATCCATCTCTACCTTTAACAGAAAATTGCTACTGGACAGAAGTCAACGGGCACTGAAAACGATGGGTGGGAACCCTGGCAGCACAGTGGTGAATGCCCTTAGTTGGCTGCTAACCAAAAGGTCCGTGGTTTGAATCTACCCTCTGCACTGTACAGCTTTCTTCCATAAAGATTGCCAGCCTTGTTCTACTCTGCCCGACACAGTCACCAGGAGACAGCATCGACCCGACGGCAATGCATTTGGGGGCAGAGGGAAGCCACAGGTGGACCACGCTCCCGATATTTGCAGTCCATTGACCAATCACTGCCCCCAGGGGGTACTCGTCAAGGGCGGGTGTGGTCTCCAGGCGGACTAACTCCTGACAGCACATCGGTGTTGTTAGGTGCTGTTGGGTTAGTTCTGACTCAGCGAGACCCGATGCACCACAGAACGAACCCCTGCCTGGTCCTGCACCATCCAGAACAGCAGGTTTGGGGGTTAACCAGGGACTTATTTCAGGGCATTGGCTCAGGAGGAGCAATGGATGACTTATTATAATGACTTATTATAATGACTATAATGCTAAGGATGACTGTCCTTTGCAACTGTCCCATCTTCGAGGCTGCAGAGAGAATGGCAGAGGCCTTGGGCAATGAGAGGATGAGGTTCGCACCGAAGGTCAGGGAAGGAGGATGGCGAGGTGGCAGTCACCAGCTTCTCCTCACCTTGTCCCCGTGCCCCCGTTCATCAAGGGACAGCTCTTGTCCTCAATTAGATTTAGCTTCTTCTAAGGCAGTTTGGTTATTATCGACTGTGCCCTTGCCGTGTTCCCTGGAGGACTCTGCCCCCCTCACGCCCACCGTATTACCAGGGTTTTTAGTTCATTACACACAGACCTTTTACCGAGAGGCATTCCGGCCAACACACAGCTCATGACACATCTCGCGACATCACCTCTCTACATGTTTAGGACAGGCTGGTCAGAGTGGAGCTGTGGAAGAGTGGCTGAACAGATGGAGAGGGGCCTTGGGTGGCACACACAGGACCAATTCCTTCATCTTCCAGCTGGGGAGCGAGTGCTTGACTTCAGGCCGGGCTGCCTACTTGGTATCAAGCCTTCCCTTCTACCCCTCTGTTTACTAGGTACACCCGAGGACTATGCCTAGCCACCCTTTGCCGGGTTTCTGAGACAAAATCTTTCCTGGGGCAGCTAGCCCCAGCTTCTGCAGTGGAGCAATCGTTAGCAGGCTAAACCCAGACAGCACCTCCAGGGTTTCTCGACCAAGCAAACCGTTCCTCTGGTTGGAGGATTATTCTTGCACCCAGCAAGGATTCTGGGCCCATTCGTGTCACCCACCTCCCAACTCTCTTGTGTGGATAGCCACAGCACCACTGCAGGCCACCACTTTGAGGTTCCACGAATGCCAGCCAGTGGTCAGCGTCGCCAGTCACCCAAAAGTCTCGTGTTCCAAGCACTGAAGGGCAGAGGCCGAGGGCCCCAGGGGTTTCCAAGGATCACCTCTTCTGCCTCCACTTCCTGGCCTGTGTGGGGAAGCCTGGGGAACATCTTTGGAAAGGCTGAGACGATGTTTTTGCTCACCCACTCCACTCTGGCTCAGATTTCCTTACTCAAACCTCGAGGGAGAGCTGCACTGCCCAGTGCTCATTTCCCGCCATCCCAGAGGCCAGCTAATGATTTTAAAACAGGAAATGCCTGGGGACTGGATGGTGCGGTGAGGAGCTGTGATTTGGAATGTGCCACCTCCCCCCCTCATACTCAGGTCAGGGTTAGGGAGGGAGTGGGGGCAGGATATTGGGGAACATGGACAGATGCTGACAAAAGTGCTGCCGGCAGCATGTGAGGTAAGCAGGACGTCCAGCTGGTTCATTCTGACTTTGACCTCCTGCTGAAAATCGGCATTCTACCCCAACTCACTGCTACGGAGTCAATGCTCACTCAAAGTGACCCTATAGCACAGAAACGGGGTCCTTTGGGTCTCGGAGCAGCAAGCCTCAGCTTTCTCCTGCAGAGGGGCTGGTGGGTTCGAACTGCTGATCTTGAAATCTTGTAACCCACAGCATCACCAGGGACCCAAGAACCTACATGTTAGCAAGATCCATAAGGATCACTTGGAGAGCGGTAAGAATCTTGAGTGGCAGGCAGATTCCCAGAAGGGGGTGGACCTGGAAGGAAGTGGCTGGAAGGCCTGGTGGGAAGAGGCCCGGGCATAAGGAGGCTCAGGGCAGAAGAGCCAGGATTGGGTCTTCACCATGCAAGTAGCCTCCTCTCACGCTAACAGGAAGTGCCGCGTCAATGTGATCCACGGACTGACACAGTTGAGTCTTTGAGTCCAATCTCCCTGAGCTCCAGTGTCCCCATCTGTTCAGTGACCCCGGAGGAACTGAATAGCAACAAGAAATCCTGTTTATAAAGCATTTGCTATCTAGTGAATACTCAATAAACGATGCATATTATGACGACTCCCCTTGCCCATCCTGGTCGCCTCTGTCTTTCTTCTGTGTGAAATCTTCAATGAAGGATCTAATAATCCTTCCGTCTACTAGATCCGGGGTCGGCAAACATTTGAGACGGCAGAGGCAATCCTATCCCTCTTAACAATTTAAAAATGATTCAGGAGCCATCGATACATTTTGAAAAGCAAATGAAATCACCATGATCCGAATAATGCTCTTTAAAACTTTTCGATTAGACGTCACAGTCACAAGTAATGAAGGATGTACTGAAAGAGCCATGTATGGCTCCCGGGCTGCCGTTGGCCGACCCTTGCACTAGATGGCCTCTGGATTGAGCGGTTGGGAAGCCAGAGCTTCCTAAATGAGTGTGGCATCAGGAAAGTGTTCAGATGGTGGCCAGGGCAGCTCTGCTTTAGGGGACTGGGCATCCTGTGGTGGGCAGAGGGCCTGGGAGTGGCTGAGGGCTCCAGGGCAGTCAGTGGCGTTTATCAGTTGGCCACTGATAAAGAGGTGCCTTGGCCAGGAAGGGCTTCCCCAAAGCCTTCATCACAGCCACCCGAACCGGTCAGTCATTGATTTCATTAATTGAGCAATGTGCCAGAGCTGGGGAGCACCCAACGGGCCACACCAAAATGCATGGTTTACTGACTGTGCGTGTGAGGGAGGTGATCTCATCTGTCATCCGGGTTCTACACGGGGACGCTGTCAACTGGGCACCGAAAGCTCCCTGGGGGGTGCAGTGCGGAAGTAGTTGGCTGCTAACGGAAAGGTCAGCGACTTGCATCCATCAGCCGCTCAGCCTTGGAAACACCACGGGGCCAGGTCTACTCTGTCCTGTTGGGTCATCCTGCGTTGGAATCAACTCTATCGATGGCAGTGGGTTTTCTTTACACTGCTGAAAAAACACGAGCATTTTCTGGTAGACCATAACCTGGCACCCCGTGTGGCCCGTTGGTTGTTGGGTGTCTGGTTGTGTTTGGCGGGAAAGAGGAAGTCTTCAAGTCATCCACCACCACCCTTGCCCTGCAGGCAGGGAGCGAGCGGCTCGCCCAGTGGATGGCAGGGGAGCTTTTCAAAGCAGGCTCCAGACCCTTCAAGCAGTGAAGCTGCATGTCCAAGAGGACAGCCAAAGGTGCCCTCTGAGCACAGGGACCCGCCCACAAGCCCCACCCCCACCCCTTTGAGGAGGCAAGGCCCTGCTGGCTGGAAGGGCAGCACAGGGAACCGCCGGCATGGCTCTTAAGCTTGTAGCACCACCACCACCTCGCTGCCAAGAGAGCGACCTTCAAAATACAAATCTCGACAGGTTGCCTCTGACTTCCAACCGGCTCTGGGATTCACATGCCTCTTAGAATAAAAGACACGGTCCTCCACTGACAAGCCCTGCCAAGGCTGGCCTCCCGACCTCACGCTTTGTCCACTTTGTGCACTCTACCCTTTGGCCACCTGCCAGCGGCTTCCAACCTTCCCCGCGGCTTCCTAGTGGATAGTTCTTCTGTCTAAACGCTCTGTCTCCTCCCTGCTCTGCACACTCACGAGTGAACACCCAGGCCTGGACAGATCCCCAGTACACACATCTCTGGGCAGCCTGTTTTCGACCTCACAGACGGAACAAGGCCGCCTTTATGAGTTCTCACAGTAGGATCGAGAAAGTGCATCGCCTAGTTCCTGCTTCCAACTAGGATACCTAGGAAGTCTTTCTTCCCACCTAAAATGCGCCTTGGGAGCAGCTGAGCCTGGACACACTTAGGCTTGGCTTGGGAGGTTGTGGGAGATTCCTCTAGGATGTGTTGGATTTTCAGCTCCTTCCGCAGTCTCCAGTTGCCATGGCTGCTGACTCTTGGTGGCCCCAGAGTTGTCTGAGAGAACTGTGCTCCTGAGGGTGGTCGGTGGCTGATGCTTCAGATTGCTAGACCCTTCTCTCAAAGTGACTTGGGGTGGCTTGAACCTCCAACTTTTTGATTAGCAGTTGAGTGCATTCATGATTTGGACCACCCCCAGAAACTCTCCTTCTTCATGACAAACACTGCCACGGAATGAATTCCGACTCTCAGCGATACAGTCTCTGAGGCTCTAAATCTTCTGGGGAGCAAACAAGCTCATCTTTCTCCGGCAGAGCAGCTGGTGGTTTGGAAAACAAACCTTGCAGTGTGTTTACTCCACAGAACCGCTGGAGACAAATCTGTCAAGTAAGCTTTGTATTG